GTGTCCAGATGGTCTTCATTTACTTGTATGTGTTGTACAAATAGCTGCACAAATCTGCGAACAGTGGGTTCTCTCGCTGTGCACTTTTGGATGACAGTTTCTCTGCATGTTTCCTGCTTCAGCTAAGCATCCTGAAAGATGAACAAGCTCGCATCTGTACATAGGTATCTACCATCCCAATTTTATTTTATTTTATTTTTAAATAAAGTTCTATGTATATGTGTGTGTTCATTAATGCATTACAATAAGTGTTTTGAGGTAAGCTAAAGCAAGATAAGCCAGGGATTTGCTCATCTATGTACTTTGCCCATCGTATACTATATATCAGTAAATCAAATTAACAAGTTGAGCTAATTTTCAAATATATATTTAATATGGTTAAACATTCAGGTTCTATTTAGTAGGATAAACCTCAACTCCAGAATCATTACATCTTTGTGAATACAACATTATAATTGCTCTACATACTGTTACTTATAAACAGTTGTGTTAAATCACATTCGGGGTCCTATGTATTCAAATTAATTTATACAAAACATAAGGGGAGGTGTTGATGAAGGAGTACATCAGGGTATGTCAGACAAAAAAAAACATGGTGTATTCAGCTCAGTGCTGATTATACTACAATACATGAGCACGCCATCTTGTAGGGAAAACTATCAATGAAGAGAAAATCACAAACAAACAGTTTTAGTGGTGGTGAAATTGTTACAGGAAGCTCCTATGCTCTCTCTGTAAACACTAAGCCAGATGATTATTCAGAGCAAAGCTGACCTGCCGACCTTGTACACTAGTCAGAGTAAATACACACACCCACACACACACAGAGAACCCTACAATCACCCACTTACCCTTTGCCACTAGTGAAAGGCAACAAGATCTCTTAACAACAGCTCGTCTTTTTCAATAAATTTTGCATGAAAACATGCCGCTGGAGCACCAAGTTGCCTGCTGTCATACTAGAGGAGTCTTAAATGTTTAATGACAACAACACCAAACACATGTGCGCGCACACAGAGTCAGTGTCAGGGTACCGCTCTGAGGGGCCTCTCTTTCATCCTGACAGACACTATAAAGCTCCTGAGCCTCTTCTCCACCCCGCCCCGCCATCACCATCACACCGCTGCACTCCTCTCCTATCACCCGGCAAGGAAACCTGGATGTAAATGAGGCTGGAGTGTTACAGTGTGTGTATGTGCACGTGTTTGTGTTTAAGTGGTGAGGATGGGGGGGCTTGCATAGACCCTACCCCCATCACCATTAAGAACAGAAGAAGAATGGGGAAAAAAAAAACTGAGGCAAAAGAAGAAGTGGCTTGTCATAGACAGGATATACAGTAAGGAGAAAAAAAAGCCTTGTTTTACATATTCCTGAAACATCTCACTGCTTCTGCATTTTTGTTTTTCTTTTTTATGCTACAGGAGGACTTGTTAGGCTCTGAAACTCATGTGGGAGCATATCGGGAATAACAGGAACATATATGTGAACCAGATTTTGGACATATCAAGGTTCACAGATAGAATGACAGCTATACTGACAGTTAAACTCAAAACTAAGTTTTTAAAAGATATCTTGTTAGCAAATTTTATGATCTCACAAACTATACACTAATTTAAAATTAAATGCAGAGTGCATTTATATGTAACAATCACTTCCTTGAGGTTCATGTCTTCAGAGATAACCTAATCTCCTTTGATGTGCATCATTCAGCAGTATGCTGTAAGTCAGATGGGATGGTGACGGCATGACCAACATTACTCTGCCTCTGAGTGGCTGTAGTCCTCTTTGCCTCCATTGTTGTAGGTTTTAGGAATAACCATTTTTTAAAAAATCTTGTGGAGTAATCTTTCAGCGGCACACAGTGTCGTCTTTACCTCCCTAAACCTGGTTTGTGGATATGGTTTTCAATATTCTATTTTAAAAATCGACTGCATCGGTCTAGGTGTTTATTAAAAATAAAATCATATCTAACTGAAACACTGTGTTCGCCTCATGCTGAATATGTATTCAGCATAAACTCATGCATTAGGTCTGTGTGTTCCAAACTTCCCTTTGGAAATTAATGTTAATTGTATAATGGTGACTACGCTGCCTGCTGCAAATCAGCTGCTCCAAAGTTACAAATGAACCTATGGGCCTATACACTTGCAAAGTGAGAGAACAGTTGTCTAATTTTCATGATGTGGATGGACTAAAAAAAAACATGCTCTGAAAACAGTTCTCTGAAAATGCAAAATTATGTAGCTGTCTCACCCCATATTCTATGAGCAAGTATTGATCGCAAAAATCTACACCTCTTCTGTGGCTAATGTTAATTTCATAATGATCCTTACTCCCTGAAGTCAGGCAGCAGAAGCAAAGTGTCAATGTGCAAATATTACTGCTGCATTTTTGCATGAACTAAATATGCTAACCCTCACATGTCACGATTTATAACATATGATTAACCTTTGTTAGGAGAGCTGCTTTAAGAGAACAATTAGGGCATGAATTAATAGTATACCCACTTTTCCAGGCACCGCTACAACACTGCTGATACTGCTTTAGTTAAAGGAAAACAATCTATTATCTCTACACACTACATGTTTTTCTCTTACTGAAACACTGTCAATTACAGAAGCATGAACATTAAAAGTCTTTTTTTTGTAACCCGAAGTGACAAAATAAGCATATATCTTTTTAAAAAAAAGCCAAGTAACAATGGAAAAAATGGATTATCTATATATATTGTATGTGTATACTGTCAAAGTCACCTTATATTGCAGGTCAGCGCCAAACAGTTGTGTCAAAATTACTCACTCCTTAAATCTCCACAGAATTAAGTAAACTGGAACGACAGATGGTACGATAGACAGTTTGAAATATATTAACCCTGCCACAGGTGGAGACACTAACCAACAAACTTCCACACATAGGCACACAGACAAGCTAAAGCAGGGTCAGAGATAAAGGAAGAGATTTCTATCGATGCTAAAGGATATTGAAGCCTTAATAAGAAAATAGATATAGTCTGCTGGCCTTACATTTCACTGTTAGCTTTATTTGTTTTCCTGATATGGATCTAAGAAAGGCAATATGTAATAGCTTCAAATAAATGGAACACTTTTCCTTTTAAAGCAAATCTCCGAGCTCTGTTCACAAAGACGAATCTCTAGCCACAACGTTTTTCCACTGATGATCAACCAAAGCTGCCAAAATGATGAACAAAAATCAGTGCTGACTGTATAGAAAATACATTAAATGCTTAAAAAAACAAATCAACAAATCTGTTCTATCTTTTCTGCAAACTAATGCATTAAAAAAAGATTTACAAATCAAGTAGCTCTAAGTAAACAAGAAACCAGAGCTTGAATAATATGTAAATGCTTAATCCTTAATTCTGTTTTCCTCATTGATGTCTATCTATAATACTCACTAAATGCATAAAATGAGTTGAAAAACTAACTTATTATTCACCCTCAAAGCTACATCTTCTCTTTTCTTAGCATTTACATCCCTTAATGAGACACAGCATACACACAATTTCCAGAGAAAGCTGTTTAAGTGCTGTGGCAGTTTAACAGTGGTGCAAAAGCTAAGTTCAAAAAATGTATATAATGTACTGCATTTTTTATTTTTTCTGACAACCATTGCTGCAATGATAAGTTGCATCATCTGACTGCACTGTTGCATCAAGAACACATCTGAGGAATGAAGATCATTTTCAGTTAGATCATGAATTGACATGTGGCTATTACTGCATGTTTCTGTTAGCGAAAGCAACAAAAAGCCTGAAAATGCAGTTAAAAATAATTTATACTTTATAAATGTATGTGCGGTCAAAACTATTACTTGAGAAAACGGAAGCTTAATCAACTACTTCATCACTTTTGAGCCGATAAAGTTAATGAGAATGGTCTCTGTTCACTGTTTGATTTATCAATTAACGTGCTATTTTCTCAGTTAATCAATTATTTAAGTAAACAATGAGTTTGAGATAAATTTGCAGTACTTGTTTTATTTAATCAGCATTAACCAAACAAGTCAAGGTTTGGCTTTTTTGCTATACAAAACAGTGGGTGATTAATTTTCAGCCAATCAACCCATCAATTTACAGACTAACCGTTGCTTTGCTGTTGAATAACTTGAGCCAACACAGCCTATAGTTCATGAGTTTAGATTCCATTCACCTTGAGGGACTCAAGTCTCCTAAATTGATGTGTAGCACAACAGCTGGTCTGCATCACTCTTGGGATCCATAGTTTGATACACACATCTGTGCCATTCAATATGACAGACAACAACTGGGTACCAGTCATATTACAGTGGCCTCCAATCGCATTAGAGAATACCGTGTTGGAAAGGGACTGCGAGTGCTATTCTGGTAGAGACAAAGAGAGACCTCTAAGGTAGTTATACTTGTAGTGGAGTGTACTGCTGTTAAAGTATCCACTACATTGAACCTGTTTGAAGCCTTTAGAAAAGAGAAACTTGCAAGTGAAGATGTCCTTCGCCAACTTTTCTCACTTTAATAAGGTGCTCTTGTTTATTGTTCTTTTCCAAAGACATCGGAGGTGCATATGATCTTGTTATGTTTCTGGACTTATTGCGGCTGGGTCCAGAGGGTGAAACGTGGAGTTAAAGACATCAAACATCAACTGGTGACCAAAACATTCCCTAAAAACGGAACCTGCACCACACTCCTAACTACCATCTATTCTTATATCACCATGACATTTTCTTTTACAGGAGGGAATTGTGTCACATTATGAGGCCCGTGTAGCCCCATGCTTGATTGCGAGGGGAAATAGAAGAGGAAAGGTATGATGGATTGATGGATGGAAGGATCGAGTGATGGATGGACAAATGGAGGAGCTGAGACCGAGCTCCAAAATATACGTCTGTATTACACCAATGTTCTCCTGTGGAGCCAATAGTTTAGATTGAGCTGGGCAAACCCAAGACTTGTTTGTGTACACTTGTGTATTCACCTCACATATAAAGCATAATTCACCACTTACCCCTTCTTCTCTGCCTTGTCTTTACTCTTGTCCTTGTCTCTGTCCTTGTCTCTGTCTCTTCCTCTGTCCCTGTCCTTGTCTTTCTCCCTCTCCCGGTCACGGCCTTTGCGTCGGCTTCGGTCTCGATCTCTGCTGCGGCTCCTTTTGCGGCTGCGGCTTCCACGCCGGCTTCGGCTGGCGCTCCTACTGCGAGACCGCCGGTGACGAGAGTGAGATCTGGAACGAGATGGAAGGTGACAAGATACCTAGGATTACTGTTCACAAATCACAGATAAAACTGCATTTTTCTCTCCTTTTGCATGAATATAAAGTGAGATGCACCTTATTGTTATGTACTTTCTCACTTTCTGCTTCATCCTCTTCAGTTAGTTATCGTCTGCATTTCCCAGAATGCCTTTTAATCACTAACAGCAAATGTGGCTGAGTTTATTTCACTCAGCTGTCAGTTATGCATGTGTGTGGCAGCAGTGATAGGAAACAGAAATAGGAATAATAGGTGCAATGGATTGTGGTACGACTGAGGAAAACACATCTTGAGGATGCATTGCAGTACAAGTGATTCATTGCTTGTTGAGAAAGTCTATGGCTGGTCGATGATGGATTTTTCCCACCAAGATTGTAAGACTGTATTGTAAAATAGTCGCCATACACAAGAATGAGCTTACGCTATTCCACAAAGTAAAAGCCAGGAGTTAGTTAAACAGTAAACCTTACCTTATACAGCTGCTTTCAACACATTTTGATCTTTGTTCAGAGGCAAATGACATAATGATACATGCAATAAAGACTTGCAAACAGGTTTTCAAAACCATTATCAATGGACAGAGCTGGAAATAAAGCCAAATGAAATAAACCTATAGTAAATCACTCCCAACACAATGTGAGGTGAACTTTGTGGAGATGCCAACTTTACATTGTCACCCAGCAACACTGTGAGGTTTGCATCTGCTAAAATGAAACTCACTAGGACCAAATTTCCCGAGAGTGGAAAGATTCATCCTTCATTGGGTGGGCGTAATAATAGTTATATACAACCCCATACACTGTAACACACACACTAACAGACACTGTAGAAATTGAGCCAATTAGAGGCTGGCTCAGAGGAAGACCTGTCCTCCGTATTGATCCTGACACTGGCCCTCTGGTCTCAAAAAGATTTACAGTGGGAGATTTACTTTGTTCGCTATGATGCGCAAACATAAACACACTGATTTAAACACTGGCAAAAATAAAATTCAAAGTGTGACTCATATCCACTATACAAGTAAAAGACACAAATCACCAAAACACATCCTTAGAAACTTGTTTTTGCACTTCTAATAAGGCAAACATATTCTGCAAGCGTGTGTGTGAGACCGCATTGTGTCACACGTGTGTGTGTGTGTGGGGGGGAAGGACCGTGATTTGAAACCCCAGTAGAAATCGGCAGCTGAGATGCCGTTATTTTCCATCATCTATCATTTTATTGATTTGTCTATAAAAACAGTCAAACCTGCTGTCCACGAGCTTTATTGCTTTCCCCCCTTTATTAGTTTGCAGTTTGGGACATCCAGAGCTGTCTCTCTCCCGACAGAAAACTAATCATTTTCTTCAGACGCCTGTCACCATCCTAACAGACAACACTCTGACAACTGTTGCAATCAATTAGGCCGGGGCGATCCTGATCACTGGAGAGTCGCTGCACTATTTCAAGGTCTCTCCAAAAGAGAATCTCGCTCCAAAAAAAAAAAAAGCACACTATTTGAAGTCAGTTTTTTTTTGAAGAGCAATCTTATGAACATATTTCATAAGCAAAGGTCGGACAATGACCAACATTGCTCAAACATTTTAATACGTATATAAATCAGGTTTGATCAAGAAACTAGAGTTTAATGCTCACATTGTGTGTTTCCAATAAAATGTTGGAACTGTTTCAACACAAATGTAGACAATAGTGAGGAAAAAGTCACAAGACATAAAAGGGTGACATCCTCAACGTTCTTGTTTTGCTCAAACAAGTTCAAAACCCAAAGACATTCAACTTAATCCCAGAGACAACAAAACTGCTCAACACATTTTGACATTTAAGACACTCAACACCAATCATTTTTGGTGTTTTTGTTGTTTTTTTTTTTTGCTAAAAACATTACTGAAATGCTTAAATATCCAAACTGTTACAGACTAAGCCTTCGGTGATCAACTTATCAATTAATTAACTTCTTGTTTTGGCTCTAGTTACAGTAATACTATAGTTATTTGAGTAGCAGCAGCAGTCTCTCTGTGGTATATTGTTCACACAGTAAAGCCAGTCTCATTGCATTGTGCAGAACAGACACTACAGCCGCCACCAGGAGTGATTATCAAAAATAATTATCATGACACATCTGATTCAGAGGTAGAGGTGAAACCGGTCATCAGTCACAGGACATTTGATTTAGCACATTTAATACAGTGTTTACTGAGAGCTACAATTAGGCTAGTCAGACTGGCAATCACTTCTAATGGAAAAAAGGAAAAGAAAAACATTGGCATTTTTGGGGTATGGAGTCTCCAGGCGAGATAATCCATCAATGGCCCAAACAGACCTTGGAATGAGTGAATCTATGTGTTGACAATGCCTGCGTATGTTTGTAATCAGCAGTACATGAGGGGAAATACAACAGAGCTGCAGTGTTCCAAGCCTAAGTCCTATATTTACAGCCAAGCAAATTGTGGCCAGAAGCAGCAGATGCAATAAACACAATTTCTCTCCCTCTCTCTCTTTCACTCCATTTCTCTGTCTCTGTCTCCCTTTCTCCCTCTGATGGCAAAGAAAACAGCCCACTTCTGGGGTGTGCAGCAAATTAAATTTACTGTAGTTAATAGAGTGAGCCTATGCTGCTAAATGTCAATTTCCTGACCAAGTCCTTCCCCTTGGAGAATGATTAGCTAATTTGAGGCTGGGGATAAATGGGCTAATGCAGGACACACACAGATAAACAGCCACAGTTGGACCCCATTCCAAGCTCTTCCTCTGCTTTACATTTTATTGGCCTTATTATCTCCAGGGAAAATGGGTCCCCCTATGACCTAAACATATTTTCATTTCTAATAAAAGGCCCTTGCTGGTTGCCCCCACGTGCAACCCCCCTACCCCACCACAACACACACACAAATTCGCTGCCCCCTCACAGCCTCCTTCCTCCATCCCTTCCTCGTTTCATCGTCCAATCCATTAAATCGGAGCTCTGCAATTGGCTGGGCCCATTTTCCTGGTGAATTATCAATAGAGTAATTATGCTCCATGTTGGGAGCTGGGCTGAAGCTTATCGCCGCTGACCCCCCGGCGCGCGCCAGGATATGATCCCTCACCACAGCCCATTGGGGTAATTATGTGGTCGGGTGTAAAGCTGGATGGTGTGTTACCTTTATCTGTATTCTATTTCTGTTTTCATTGAAAATTGGACATTAATGGGAGCTACGCGATACCACTAGTGTCAGATACAGGTGAGCGTCTCCAACGGAATCTGACCCCCAGTCAAATCATTATTCGCGGTACACAGCGTAGGGACGGGTACACAAACACACAAAAAGACCAATCATCCACAGTGTTCCTTTAACCTTATCTTGCCCCTATTTGAGCAGCAGTGATGGACATTCACACCGTTTCTTCATTTTCTCAAACCGCTGCCTTCGGTTGGGAAGGCAAAATAAAGTTGATGTCTATATTGTGTTTGTCCTGTGATAGAAAACACCAATGTAACGGCTGAAAACATCTTCCCAGTGAGGCCCCAAGCAGTGTATCTGACCGTTAGGCCAGTGTGGCACAACAGCGATTAATGGCTGAGTAACTTCAACCCTATCGCATTTCAGTAGACGCTGGCGACAGTGACCCCACTATGACCATCGATACAGTAAAAGCGCATGCATAAAAATGACCATCTCAGTTTCCTAGCAAGATATCAACAAGGAACGAAAGTGACTCATTACAGTAACTCTCAGCTTTGCATCTTTGCATCATTTAAACTTTGTGCATCTACAGAAGTTTTTGCAATTTGTCAACGTAGAGTATTTGTAGAGTCCTGCGACACGTCATTACCCTGCAGTACAGTTTGTCCATTACCAGTTTCATTCATGACTAGAGCGTGTATGTGTTTTCTATTTCAAGCTTTAAAAAAATCTGAGTTGTCATTTTAACAATGATGTAACAAAATAATTCCGTCCACACTTCCTTTTTAAAAAAAATTTATGTTAAATGAGTTCAGCTTTTCAGAAAGATCTGTGACATAAATCGTCTATGCAAAAAAAAAAGTGATTTGCAGCTAAAATCACAAAGATAACATTTACAGTATTCCTTTAAACATCATTATTTGTGGCATGCTGGATAAACTAAATATTAATGGCTTGCAGGACTTTGTGAAGAAGCGGGACCTGCTTGAAGGCGGAGGACTATGCACAGACATACTTATTTCACAGCCTCGTTTATTCAGAAAGCATGATGTTGAATGAGCAAAAAGTGAGAGCTGAAACCCATGCAGACTAATGTAGCTGTCACAAAAATAACACGCAGACAGATAAACTTTCAAGTTGTTTGGCAGTGTTTTTCTCAAAACGAAAGTACATTTTTGAAGCCCAAAAAAAAAAAAAAAAAAACGCAATAAATATATGGTGTTTATCCTTTGTCTGTACAATGTATTTTACTCAACCACGTAGGCCAACCAAACCTTAGACTTGAGCAATCTCCAGCCACACACGCAAGCACACACACACACACACACACACACACAAAAACTACAAAAAAGCTTGCCAGTCGACTTTTCCAAGCAATAGACAGATTGAAAAAGAAACAGGCCTATTGAAAGCGAGACGCTCCATATTTGAAGAACTTCATTAATGCACTGTTCCCCGCCGAGTTATTTCCAGTGACAGAGCACACAGCAGCAGCTTCATGTTCAAGTTAAAAGTCACTTTTCTTTTTTTTCTGCCATTTCAATGTGTCTAAAAGCACCTTGAGTGAGCAATGTGCATTTCCTGCTGCCAAAAGACGTGGAAAACAGCTGTTCCTGCCTGACGCTGCCTGCTGAATGGAATGCAAATATGTTAACCATCCAGAATTTATTACTTTTGAGTGCTCTTCAAACGCAACGGCAGACACAAGTTTAATTTATGATATTCCTCTAATTATGAGAGCTGTTGAAATCATTTCCCAAGCTGCTTCCTCCTTCCAAGCAGCCACATTATCTGTTCCCTCGGTTCAC